TATGTACACAAAAGCTAATTCACTTATCCGCAAATTTGGTCACTGTTCTCATGCGGTGAAGCGCACTCTGTTCATAGCACATTGCAGTGCAATGTATTGTGCTCAGCTCTGGTCCTGCTACAGAGCAGGAAACATTCATAGGCTACGAGTTGCTTATCACGATGGTCTTAAAATCCTACTGTCTCAGCCTAGGAGCACTAGTAACAGCGACCTATTTGTACAGACTCGTGTTGACACGTTTGACGCCAGGCGTCGGAAGTTGTTGTGTTCTTTTGCTTCTCGTCTGTTAGCGTCCGAGAACGCAATTGTCAAACTGCTGCTCCGCTCGGAGACCTTCTGCTCCAGTCCATTCTGGAGCCATTACTGTAGACTGGTCCGCCCACCGTAAGGGCTCGACAGTCTTTTATCTATTTGTACCTACTTAGATGTTTTATTTTTAGATGTGTTTGTGTAATGTTGTCTGTCTGTGCTATGGGCCATTGAGCCTGAAATAAACAATAAATAAATAAATAAATAAATGTATAGAACACGTGTATGATTTCATAACATATTTTTTACAGCTTTTTACCCGTCTAACGATTTTACTGATCACCTCACCATATCAGTAACTTAAAGGTTAATTAACTAAACGCCTAACGGTTAACGTTGTTGTTGCCCCCTAGCGACATGTTTTGTCTTTGCAATTGCCTAGAACCAAGTAGAGCCAACCCACACGGCAACTATTAAAGTACCAGGTACATGTTTTTTTTTTTTGTTGTTGTTTCGCATAAGGCCATGTTGATTTGATTATATGGATGACATCCGCGCGGCTATGAATTTTCGGCCGTTTCCAAAAAAGAAAGTTTTCAGTCATACTGTAAATCGTACAAAACAGTTACACAATGAGCAAAGATATACCGTAACTTGCAAAAAAATATCTAAAAACCGTACCAATGTCGCAGAATGCCAAAATCAAACGAAAAAAGACGAAAATTTAAAGAAATGATTTTGAATAGTAGATTATTCGCCAAACCATATTCTGCCTCATTTGTTCAACCGTCATGACCACGTAGATTTCATAATTTTTTTTTTTTGCAAAACTTTTTTTTTATTCGCACGCGCGCATCAGTTTTGGGGTTCCCAGAGAATGTCATCCATATAATCAAATCAACATGGCCTATACCCGGTCAACCGCCTTCAGGCGGTGCGGTATCACAGCAGTTTGTACATGTACGTACAAGCTGCACAAGTCCGGACTGTAAGGTTTGAACCGCTCACACCGGGAAGTGTTGTGGGTTCTTTAATGTGCATGGCATGGGCTGTGGCTCTCCTCAAACACGGGACCTCCATGTAACGTCCTATCCAAGGGACGTCCCTAACCAATACTAGGTACTCATTTCCACCTGAGTGAAGTGAGGAAAGTCGTGTAAGGTGCCTTTCCCAAGGACACAAGATTCGAACCCGCGACCTCTTGGTCCTGAATCCACTCACATGGTCTAGGCTCTTAATGTTATACATGATCCTATAGCATGATGTGGCGAACGAGTTTAGCTTGTTTTCCATGACCCAGGATTCACAGCCATATAGTAGTATTGTCACACAGTTGGTGTTGAAAAATTGACTTTAGTAGATGTGGAGATTGATGGACTTCTCCAGAACCGTAATGTAGTTAACCGTAATTACTAGCTACTGCAATTAGCAATCCTGGTACGGATGTGGTCGTCAAATTGATTAGAGTGTTTATAGAACAGCGGGGATAATACCCTTTTAATACCTTTCCAACAGCTTCCTGGGCCTTATAAATTATTCTGCATCAGTAAACGTAAATGTATCGTATTGCTCATTTAGCCCATATTGTGGGGTCGTGTGGCGTAACGACGGAGTGTTAAACTCGAAACCTGGAGGTCCCGGGTTCGAATCCTGCCCGATGTCACCGATCTTGTGCCCTTGGGAAAGGCACTTTACACGACTTTCCTCACTTCACTCAGGTCAAAATTAGTACCTATCTTCGGTTAGGGACGTCCCTCGGATAGGACGTTAAATGGAGGTCCCGTGTTTGGGAGAGCCAAACCCCACGCACGTTTAAGAACCCACCACACTTGTCGAAAAGAGTAGGGGACCTTCCCGGTGTGAGTTCAAACCTTACAGTCATATATGGCCACACCTAGGGTCGTATCGAGGTCACTTGAGATAGCGCATAATGGCAGCCGCTCCAAACCCTTACGATTAAGCCTCAATAATTGTAAGCTCCTCATAATAACATACATTTGTCTCTGGGACTTTGCGGATTTGGAATGATGAAGACTCCTTTCCTCCGGAGACTCCAAAGTATTTCATTAGCTAAAACAGTTGCCAATAAGATATCAGCAACCGTTATGTGTGTTTTTTGAACTTTTAATATGTCACGCCAATATGAATAAAGCTGAATCTGAATCTGGATGTTGCCCAGGATCATAAAATTATAAGAGGTAGCGTTAAATGATTCTAAGCTTGAATGATTCAGAGCTTAACTTACAGATTTAGTTAGTAAAGCAAATATAAATCCTGGTATCTTATTAATTATAAAGCTTTAATTATACTGCATTTCATAAGAGTACATAGTAATGCTCACCAAACAACCAAAGGTTTTGTACGACAAAATCACATTCCAATCTGAGATTCACAACTACCGAACACGCTCAACCGGTACAAACAAAATCAGACTACCAAAACCAAAATCCAACTCTCAGAAAAGGCGCTTCCTGTACAAAATGTCTCAATTGTGGAACAACACAGGCAACAACTAGCAAGGTATTGGACTGTAATTAGTGTATCTTTAAAAGGAATTATGTTATTTTTGCTCCATACCGTTAACTTTGTACGTTTTTGTATGTTTCTCTTCAATTGAAATATGTATATATGGATGTAATGTGTAGACCACAGGAAGAATAGTCTCTTATATGAGGCTAGTTGTGGATCTAAATAAAACTCAAACTTAACAGCAACGATAACCAACGATACATTTTGGAAAATTGTCATGATACCAACTATCATTTTTTCCTGTATATTTCCTGTATTTAGTACATAAGCTATCACAAACGGTTTCCCACCAAGCAGGAATATATTTGAACAATATCTTGTGTAATGGCGAGTATTAAAAGGAGCCCATGGCTACTACTCTAAGGCATTTATTAACTTACATATTTAGCTAGTAAAGAAAATGTAAATCCTTGAATCTTATCAATTATAATATTTTAACTATGCTGCATTTCATAAGAGTACATAGTAATGCTCACCAAACAACCAAAAGTATTGTACGACAAAATCACATTCCAATCTGAGATTCACAAGTACCAAATACAATCAACCAGAACAAACACAGTCAGACTACCGAGACCAAAATCCTACTCTCAGAAAAGGCGCTTCCTGTACAGAATGTCACAATTGTGGAACAACACAGGCTGCAACTAGCAAGGTATTGGACTGTAATTAGTGTATCTTTAAAAGGAATTATGTTATTTTTGCTCCATACTGTTAACTTTGTACGTTTTTGTATGTTTTTCTTCAATTGAAATATGTATATATGGATGTAATGTGTAGACCACAGGAAAAATAGTCTCTTATATGAGGCTAATTGTTGATCTAAATAAAACTCAAACTTAAGAGCAACGATAAACAAGATTAACATTTTGGAAAATTTTCATGATACCAGCTATCATTTCTTTTCCCTGTATATTTCCTGTATTTAGTACATAAGCTACCACAAACGGTTTCCCACCAAGCAGGAATATATTTGAACAATATCTTGTGTAATGTCGAGTATTAAAAGGAGCCCATGGCTACTACTGTAAAGGGGCATTTCTTTAACTTACATATTTAGTTAGTAAAGAAAATATAAATCCTTGGATCTTATCAATCGTAATGCTTTAACTATACCGCATTTCTTAAGAGTACATAGTAATGCTCACCAAACAACCTAAGGTTTTGCACGGCAAAATCACATTCCAATCTGAGATTCACAACTACCGAACACGCTCAACCAGTACAAACAAAATCAGACTACCGAGACCAAAATCCAACTCTCAGAAAAGGCGCTTTCTGTACAGACTGTCTCAATTGTGGAACAACACAGGCAACAACTAGCAAGGTATTGGACTGTAATTAGTGTATCTTTAAAAGGAATTATGTTATTTTTGCTCCATACTGTTAACTTTGTACGTTTTTGTATGTTTTTCTTCAATTGAAATATGTATATATGAATGTAATGTGTAGACCACAGGAAGAATAACCTATTATGAGGCTAATTGTGGATCTAAATAAAACTCTAACTCAAACCTAACAACAACGATAACCAAGATTAACATTTTGGAAAATTGTCATGATACCATGCAGCTATCATTTCTTTTCCCCGTATATTTCCTGTATTTAGTACATAAGCTACCACAAACGGTTTCCCACCAAGCAGGAATATATTTGAACAATATCTTGTGTAATGTCGAGTATTAAAAGGAGCCCATGGCTACTACTGTAAAGGGGCATTTCTTTAACTTACATATTTAGGTAGTAAAGAAAACGTAAATCCTTGGATCTTATCAATCGTAATGCTTTAACTATATCGCATTTCATAAGAGTACATAGTAATGCTCACCAAACAACCTAAGGTTTTGTACGACAAAATCACATTCCAATCTGAGATTCACAAGTACCAAATACAATCAACCAGAACAAACACAATCAGACTACCGAAACTAAAACCCAACTCTCAGAAAAGGCGCTTTCTGTACAGACTGTCTCAATCGTGGAACAACACAGGCAACAACTAGCAAAGTATTGGACGGTAATTAGTGTATTTAAGGAATTATGTAATATTTGCTTCATACTGGTAACTTTGTATGTTTTTGTACGTTTCTCTTCAATTGCAATATGTATATTATGAATGGAAGAATAGCCTCTTATAAGGCTAATTGTGGATCTAAATAAAAGTCAAACACAAATTTTCACAGCAACGTTAACATTTTGGAAAATTATCATGATACCAGCTATCATTTCTTTTTCCTGTATATTTCTCTGCTTTATGAAGTGTGTCTGGGAATGGCGCAGATGTCATACTGTGCAGGGCTCAAGACAGTTCCAAGAGCGCCGTCCATGGGTGGTGTAGGGGCGCCATCAGGCAGTTTGAAGGTGAACTGCTGCAGCAGGCTTGTGTAGAAGAGAAACAGTTCCATCTTGGCAAGCTGTTCTCCCAAACACCGTCTCCGGCCTGGACCGACACGGGGAACAACAGAAAAAAAAGGCATGAGTGGAAAATTTCCTCCCCTCCATTTTCTTTTATAATTTTGGCAAATCAAAAGAAAACTAGAAAGATAACATTTACCCTCAAGTGCTTTAGTACATGCATAACACATTTTTACACAAACACTCCCACATATTGGGCACATATGACCAGCCCCTCCAGCTCTATATGCCCTGCTACATAATGTAACCCAACACCTCTGCATGTCTGCCATAGCACCAGTTACCATGGTGACAGACGTCTGGTCAAATTGACCTTATTTGTTTGGAAGAAGAAAAAGAGGGAGAAGAAGAAACTGAGCGAAAACAACGATTTCCTTCTGTAAAGGCAAAAATTATTAATGTATGCTGTACCTGCGGAAAAAGGTAAAAACCATTCCGGTTTGACCACCTTCCCTTCTTCATCCAGGAACCTTTCAGGTCGGAACTTCTCCGGTTCAGGCGTGACCTCTGGATCCATCATGGCGGACCACAGACTCGGGATGATGTACGAACCGGCCGGGATGTCGTATCCGTACAGGGTTGTGTCTGCGCTGGTTCCATGGAAAAGGTTCAGAGGCACGATCGCACGGATCCGCTGGATTTCCATGATGGTTGCCTCGGTGTAGGGCAGCCGTCCGCGCTCTGACCATGGCGGAACTTCTCCAGACGGGAACTCGCGGTCAATCTCTTCTTGCACTTTGGTCTGCACGTCTGGGTTCAGGGAAGTGTAGAGCAGCCCCCACTTCAACGTCGTCGCTGTTGTTTCAGAACCGGCAATGAAGAGATCTCGGATGACCGTGCCAAGTGCCTCCTCATTCACGCCGCTGCCAGCGTCTTCGCTCAAGTAGACGTCGATGATGTCTCTGATGTCCGACCTGTCGAAACTCGCCTTGTGTTCCTCCACGCGTTTCATGATGAACTCTATGATGTAGTCACTCATCTGTATCCCGTGACTACGCCAGTTACTCGTCATGGGAAGTTTCCTCAAAAGTGGCAGGACAAATTGCAGGAGCATACCAACTATTCTGTTACGCCCGCCCACGAGGTACGAAAACGCGTGCGACAAACGCTTAAACTCTTCGTCGTCATACTGGAATCGGTTTCCAAACGACATAGAACAGATGATATTTGATACGGCGTTACCTAGGAAATGGGATATGTCGGCCGGCGCTCCATCTAGAGACCGTATAGCAGCGCACAGTGCTGTCGTCTCTTCCAGAATCCTTCCCTCGGCGCTGCGCCTTCCCATGCCGAACTGTCGGAGGGCTGACAGGGCGAACCGGCGTCGCTCTGCCCAACGTTCTCCGTAAGGAGCCATCACCAAACCTGCGGTGCACAATTGAACATATACATTTCTTATAAACTCCAGTTGTCAAATTTCTCTTATTTTTCAACATGACGTTTATGCATAATCTACGTATCTTCTGTATGTTGTTCTAAATGAAGAAACACATCCGGTATGTATCAAATAATTTGATAGCATCAGGGTAAGACGACACAGCATTTTTATATAAACATCAATAATATAAAAAACAGTTTTAGATAGAGTATATAGCAGAAAGGATAAGGATTTCTGTTGTACATATATTTACTATCCGTGTCTTGGTAATCAAGAGATTTGTCCCCTTGCCCCTGAGAAAAATGATTGAACCATGTCAAGAATTTCTAGACAGTGTATGGATTTGACAAAACACACGGCGTACCAGGGTCGCGTCTGAGGGTCCGGCTCAGCATAGACGGTCGGTCTGAGAATATCTCCGGCTGTTTCACCAGAGCGTCGTGGATGGCTTTATGTCTGGATAACATGACAAGGCAAGAGTTAAATTCGCTTCTGTTGAACATGAGGACGGCATTGCTGTTTCATGACTGAAATGAATATACATGCACACGCGCGCGCACACACTGTGATACCGT